TAAACCGTCAACACTATTAGGATCTAATTTACACGTGAAATTTCAAATTTACCTACAAGGAGCCGATGGGAAGAGCGCCCCATGCCCAAAAGAGAACATGCTTTGAGCAACAGAATCAAGTAGCATTGGGGGCGCTTGGGTGACTCAGCCGGTTAAGCGTTTGATTCTTGGTTTTGGCTCAGGTCATGATCCCACAGTTTGTGAGATCAAGCCCCATGTCGGGCTCTGCTGACAGCATGGAGCCTGCTTGGGATTCTCTCTCTCTCTCTCTCTCACTCTCCCTCTCTCTTTCCCTTCCTGCACATGCTCTCTCTCTTAAAATAAATTAAAAAAAATCAAGTAGTATTGTGTTATAATCCAATTAATACAATTAATGATTGGATAGATTAACACATGGGGAAGAAGAGACTAGTATCATGTGCAGAAGAATTCCAAATAATTTATGTAGATATTCTGCCCTCAAGGAAGGGGAGCATAACTTCCCCATAGTATGGACTGTGCAGAGAGACTTCTTCCTAAAGAGTGCGCTAAGAAAAAGGGAACGTGATAGGACTTTACAGTGACAGACACTACTTCAGCCAGTGGATCGAGGTCAACATCAATAGTCATGAATCCCGTTGATTTATATACCCTTAATATGATATGAAAATGGCATTTTACTTCTGCAATATTCCTCCTATAACCCCACAAGTCTAATCATGAGAGAACATCAGATAAATCCCAATAAGGGACCATCCTGCAATCTCCCCAACCAATGTTCCTCCAAAGTGTTAGGGACACAAAAACCAAGAAGCCTGAGATATTGTCACACCCAAGAGGAGCCCAAGGAGACACGATGGGTAAATGTAACGTGGTGTCCTGGATGAGATCTTGGAACAGGAAAAGGACATTGGGGGATAACCAAGGAGATCTAAACTGTGGATTTCAGGGAACAAAAGTGTATCAATTTTGGTTTGCTAATAATAACAAATGTATCATAGAAATGCAAGGTGGTTTTTTAAAAAAAATTTTAAAGTTTTATTTATTTCTAGGAGAGAGAGAGAGAGAGACAGCGTGAGCAGGGGAGGGTCAGAGAGAGAGGGAGTCACAGACTGAAACAGGCTCCAGGCTCTGAGCTGGCAGTCAGCACAGAGCCCGACGCGGGGCTCAAACCCACGAACCGCGAGATCATGACCTAAGCGAAAGTCAGACGCTTAACCGACTAAGCCACCCAGGCGCCCCAAGCAAGGTGTTAATAATAGGGAAACTGCAGAGTTTTATAAGAACTCCCTCTGTACTATCTTCTCAATTGTTCCGCAACTTTAAAACTTATGTAGGGGCGCCTGGGTTGCTCAGTCGGTTGAGCATCCGACTTCGGCTCAGGTCATGATCTCACAGTTCATGGGTTTGAGCTCCGCGTCAGGTTCTGTGCTGACAACTTGGAACCTGGAGCCTGCTTTGGATTCTGTGCCTCCCTCGCTCTCTACCCTTCCCTACTCATGCTCTGTCTTTCTTTGTCTCTCAAAAATAAATAATTGTTAAAAAATTGTTTAAAACTTATCTAAAAAATGAAGTCTGTTTAAAAAATGTGCCAGTCCTTTGTCATTGAGAGACATCCGTACATGGTGGTGAGTGCATAGACTCTGGAACCAGGTTGCTTGGGCTCAGATCCCAAACTCTGTCACTAATTGTCTGTGGTTGGTAGCTTCCAAGATAGCCTCCAGGGACCCACCTCCTGACATTCATGCCCTTTGGAGTCCTGGTCCTCACTGAAGTGTGTTGGCTCATGTGACCAACAAAATGTTGTGGAAATGATGCTGTGTAATTTCTGAGGCTGGGTCTTTACAGGCACTGCGGCTTCCTCCTTGCTCTTTCTCTTTGATCGCTCACTCTGGGGAAAGCCAGCTGCCATATCAGACACTCAAGTGACACTAAGGACAGGTCCACGTGGCAGGGGATTGAGTCCTCCCATGAAGAGCCACCACCAGCTTGCCAGCTGTGTGAGGAGGGAGCTGCCTTGGGAGTGGCTCCTCCAGCCCCAGCTGAGCTTTCGGATGACAGCAGCCCCACCTGACATTTTAATTGTAATCTTGTGAGAGACCCTTAAGCCCAAACCGTGCAGCTCAGTGGCTCCCTGTGGATCCCACCCACCAAAACTGTGAAAGATAATACTTATTGTTTAAGCCTCTAAGTTTTGGGGTAATTTGTTTCATAGCAATAGAAAACTAAGGGACTAATTCAGGGGTAGGTACCTTTTAAAGGACAAGATAATAGATATTTTAGGCTTTTCAGGTCACATACAATCTCTATTATAGATTCTTTTTTTTTTAACTCTTTGAAAATAAAAAAAAAATAATTCTTAGCTTGTGAGCTGTACAAAAATAAGCCATGAACCTGTCTTCCTCCTCGCTTTCTGGCTTCTTTCCTTCTTCCTTCCTTCACCCTCTCCCTTTCCTCCCTCCTCCCTTTCTTCTCTCTCACTCTTTCATATATTGAGTCACTAATTCAGCAAAATGAGCACCTACTATGCCAGGCCCTGCGTGAGTGGCTGCAGTTCTATCTGTGATTAAGACAGACATCCTTTCTGCTCCTCCAGCCCAGGAGGGAAGACAGACAACAAAGTCGTAAGTTATGAACCCAGTATATCATTATGCCTTGTAGCATCTACTCTGAAGGAAATAAGCAGGTTGTGGGGAGAGATAAAGATCCAATTTCACCTACCCAGGGTGGCTGGAGAAGGCCTCTCTGAGTGGAGATTAGAAGGATGAAGAGAAAGTAGTCATGGAAAAGTATTCTGGGAGGAAGGAACTGCTTATGCAAAAGCCCAGAGGCAAGAAAGGGCTAGGAGTTTCTGGGAACCGTGGAGGAAGTCGGTGTGGCTGGCATGAGTGAGGTGGAGAGTTGGGGGGGGGCATGGGGTCAGGGCGGTGATGGGGCCACAATGAAGGGCCTTGAGGGCTGTAGCGTGTGAGTGGTAGGAGCTTGTAAGGGCTTTGAGCAGAAGTTGCTTGACCTGCATGATCTGACAGCTCACAGGCCCGTGAGTTCGAGCCCCGCGTCGGGCTCTGTGCCGACAGCTCAGAGCCTGGAACCTGCTTCAGATCCTGTGTCTCCCTCACTCTCTCTGCCCCTCCCCTGCTCACACCCTGTCTCTCTCTCTCTCTCAGAAATAAATAAACATTAAAAAAAGAAGAAGTTTCTTGACCTGCTTTTCTCTCCGACCTGTGGATTCTAGCAACTCCATTCTCTCCCATGGCCACTTGTCTTCCTCACTGAAGGGCCACTGAGCATTTATTGAACATTTACTTTACACTAACACTCACAATTACTCTCTGGGAAGTAATTAAAGATGAGGAAACCAGGGACGCCTGGTGGCTCAGTCGACTGAGTGTCCAACTCTTGATTTTGGCTCAGATCATGATCTCAGTCATGAGACTGAGCCTCATGCTGAGCATGGAGCCTGCTTGGGATTCTCTCTCCCCTTTTCCCTCTGCACCTCCCCCTGCACGCATGCTCTCTCTGTCTCTCAAAATAAATAAACATTTAAAAAAAAGATGAGGAGGATCGGGGCGCCTGGGTGGCTTAGTCGGTTAAGCGTCCGACTTTCGCTTGGGTCATGATCTCGCGGTTCGTGGGTTCGAGCCCCGCGTCGGGCTCTGTGCTGACTGCCAGCTCAGGGCCTGGAGCCTTTTTCAGTTTTTGTTTCTCTCTCTCTCTGACCCTCCCCTGCTCACGCTGTCTCTCTCTCTCTCTCCTAGAAATAAATAAAAATAGTTAAAAAAAAAAAGATGAGGAAACCAAAGCAAAGAGGGGTGAATAACCAGGCTAAGGCCACACAGCCAGGAAGCCGTGGAGGCAGAACTTGAACTCAGCTGCCACCATCCTGTGGCCCCACAGCTCCAGCCTCTTTCCCAGGTTTCCTGCCATCCACTCGGTTTTCACCCATCAACCAGCTGGGCCTTCTACCTCAGGGCTGGTCAGTTCCTTTCCTGCTCTAACATCTTCCATGACTCCCTACTACCCTTGATAATGACCAAGCCCTTTAGCCTGGTATTCGAAATCTTTTATGAAGTCAGCTTGTCCAGCAGCCTCCTGCCCACCTTTCTCTTTCTCCTTCTCAGCTCAGTCCCTCACTGACACCTCAAGGCCAGCCATCCCGGACACCTTGCAGTCCCTGTAGCACTCTTAGGGGCTCTTGGAGCCACATGGGTGGCTGCCTTGGCTTGGCGGGTCTCCCAGTCCCATCCCAGGCCACACCCATAAAACTCGTTCACTTTCCCCTGTCCCTTGTCTTAGCTCTCCAGTTGCCTGGGGCTCCCCATCAAATCTTCAGTCAGGACCATGTACAGCCTGGGCACCAAATTCATTCATCAACTCGTGCATTCATTCAATAATCATTTCCTGAGAACCTACTCGGGACCAGCCCTTGCTGTAGGAACTGAGAATGCCGCAGTGAGCAAGGCAGACATGGCCCCTGGTTTTAAAGAGCTGACGTTGTAGGGCAGGAGAAATGCCTATTTGACAATCAAACCAATAAGTATTATATACAATATATTTATAAGAGTTATTGAGACAATAAAGGAGGGTAAGCAGAATGCCAGAAGGGGGTCTATTTTAGATATGTTATTAAAGCAAGTATCTTCGAGGAAGTGACTTTTAAAAAAAGTTTGTTTGTTTGTTTGTTTATTTATTTATTTAGAGAGAACATGTGTGCACGAGCCAGGAAGAGGCAGAGAAAGAGGGAGAGAGAATCCCAAGCAGGCTCCACACTGTCAGCGTGGAGCCCAGTGTGGGGCTGGGACTCATGAACCACAAGATCATGACCTGAGATGAAATCAAGTCAGAAGCTTATCCGCCTGAGCCACCCAGATGCCCCAGAAGTGACATTTAAGCAGAGTCCCAATAAGGGAAGGATTCAATCAATGGAGATGTCTGGGGGAAGGGTGTACTTGGTGGAGGGAACAGTGAGTGCAAAGGCCCTGAGGTGGGAATCGACGCGGGTGTTGGAAGGACACAGAGGAGGTCCGTGTAACTGGAATGGAGTAGGAGGGGGAAGAGGCAGGTCCCTGCGATTTCAGGGCAGGGCGTGCGGGGTCTCTGATGAGTACTGAGCAGGGATAAATGTGTGGAGTTTGGGTATGATTCTCCATGCTCTTTATCAGGGGCTCAGCCCAGTGGCCTGGGCCTGCTTAGAAGCAACCACCGGAGGGCAGCAGACCCCTCACAGTCTCAGGACTCACAGCCATGTGTGCTCATATATTCTGAAAATCCTTCCAGCTGGTCCAGAAATTCCTTCTTGCCCACGTTGCCTTCTGCCGGCCAGTTCATGAGGAATGTCTCCTTGCTCAGGACATAGATGTAACTGTGGGTGAGAGACAGCAAGGAGGGTGAGGAGAGCCTGGTGCCCTGGAGGCATGGAGCCCTCCCTGTCCTGCTCCTCCGTCCTGACGGGCAGCTTCCCAGAGCCATAGGCTGTAGTGTCACTCCAGCAGGCCATCTTGGGTCCCCCAGCCTCTAGCCCACGTGGCTGGGGATTCGAAAAGGCTCCCCTTCCTCTGATTCTTTACGGCCCTCTATTGGAAAGCCGAACCTGTATCTACATCTACAGTATCTCCTTGTGAATGGTGTTCTCTGGAATTGTGCAGTGCACAGCGTGCACGTCCCTTCAGGGCAGCCCAGAAACCCAAGACTCCTGCTGTTGGGTGACAGGCGCTGATAGGAGGTGTTGACGCCAGGGATGGGGCCGGGGTGGGGAAAGGGGCCCGCGCCTGAGTCCTGGGACAGCAGGGGTCCCTCCGCGTACTGAGATCTGACTCTCCACAGGTCCGACGTGTGGCCCATGATGAGGTATGTCTCCTGTTCTTGCAGCCCCAGGGAGTCACGGCACGTGGCATGAGAGACGAACTGCTTCATGGTGAGGGCCAGGGCGGAGTCCGTACCTGGAGAGGAAACGTGGCGCGTGAGTGTACACGGGCCTGGCTCTTTCCCCCACGGGGACCCTCAGGGCCCACCCTCCCTCTTCCGCCCCGTCGGTCGGACGTACCACTCTTGATGATGGCTTGGAGTTTCATGTGGTAGTAGATGTAGGGATTGGAGGCGGAGGCCTGCACGGACTCCAGCCTGACCTTGTACACTGGGAAAGCAAGGGCAGGAGGGTGTCCTGTTGGCCTCTGGCCTGCAAGTGGACCTCCTCCTGGGCCTGACACTTCCCACACTCACCGAAGTCCACGCCTCCCTCACAGGCTACCGTCTGGAGCTCTTCCTGTCTCAGTAGGGCGCCGTCCTTCCTCAGAGATGGGCACCGTTCTGGAATGTCAGGAGGGCAGCTGCTCTGGCTGTGCCGAGGGAGGGGCTTCCTCCATCCCCCCCCCCCCATTCTGGTCTGTAGGGTGCTCTGTGTCTTCCTCCCCCTCTCCTTCTGGTCTCTCTCCCATCTGAGTCTCTTTATGTCTCGCTCCATCTTTTTTGGCTCTGCCTGAGCGTCTGTGATCCTCTTGGTCGCTGGGGCTCCTTTTCTCTGTCTTCCTATCTCACGATGTCTCTCGGTCTAAACTCAGCCCTAAGAGACAGCCAGGAGGTGACGCGGGACTCCTGGATCCCTAGCCTGGCAGCCGCGGCCGCGGTGTCCCCGTGACCTCACCCTCCGCACATCTGCAGACATCTTTGTGACAGATCTTCCGCATGGACGAGAGCTCTGTGGGCAGGTTGTAGAAAGAGCTGCACCTCCGGGCTGAGAGAGAGAGGCGCGGACGGCTGGGGTTGGCTTGGGCCCGCGTTCCTGGGGGCCGGGTCACCGCCTGGCTCCGCCCCTCAGCCCCGCCCCTCCCCACCCGGCCCCGCCCAGTCACCCCTCAGCAGGCCCCGCCCCCTCGAAGACTCCTCCCTTCTCGTCCTGCGGGCCCTGCCCGGTCACGTCGGCGTCCCATCCCCTTCCAGATTCCCCGCAGCGCTGACCGCCCGGGAAGGCCACGCCCCTCATCGCCGCATCCCGTTCGGGCCCTTTCAGCAACTTTCTTGCTGCCCCAATGCCCAGCCCCCTCTGCGCCACGCCTCAAACCCGCGTCCTGGCCCCGCCCCTCGTCCTTCCCTCCGGGCCCCGTTCTTCTCCCTCCTCTGGGGAGATCCCGGCTTACCAGGTTCGTAGTAGTCGTATACGGTGACCTGGGCAGCCTGCAGGAATTCCGCCTGTAGCATCCTGTGGACCCGGAAGCCCAGCACTGTGTTTTCCTCGTGGGAGAGCTGGGGGGAAGGGAATCCTGTCCGAGCTGACCAGGGCCACCGACCATGGGGCACTGACCGCAGGGCCTTGGCCATCACCACTGACAATGCGGCCCTGCGGTCTGAAGAGCTGACCTCAGACTGTATGGCCCCCTGGCAACACTGCCCAGGGTGCTGACCGTGGGCTCTCTGCCCACCGGCTGGCCCACAGGCCTCTGGAGGAGGCCACCCCGCCTTCCTCACCTTCTCCAGGTAGAGGACGACAGTGCTGTCGCTGGAGCTCGTCTTGGTCTCGTACTGGAAGGCGTACATCTCCACGTCGCTCGTGAGCTGGCGCAGAGGGTGACGGTTGCAGGTTGGCAGAGACCCCATCCCCGTCCCGAGGTCCCCAGCTCTAGGAGCTCTAGTCAGTGCGAAGTAACTCTCAGAGCTCCCAGCCCTTGTGCCATCAACGCCAGTGTCAGGGAAACTGAGGCACCATCAGGGCAAGGACTTGCCTAAGGTCATGCAGGGAGACAATCAGAAGTGGCCGCGGCTCCTGAGCATGGGGCACTAACCTGGGGGCCTTGACCCCCGTGCCCACACGGGGAGTGTGGGGTGTTGCTAGGGCACCTCCACTCTGCTCAGCAGTGGGCAGGTGGCACCTCCATTACCTGTTTGAGGTCATTCTGGTTGGGGTAGAAGCCGGTGAGCAGGGAGACCTCCATGATGCTCATTGTGGCCTCTCGGTTTCCCTGGAACCTGGGGATTTCACAGCTCCAGTCTCTCTTCACTCTTTTCCTCCTCTCTCCCCGTGCTCCCCCTGCCATCATCTCAGGTCTGAATGAGTGCAGTCAGTAGCCTCCTCCTGGGTCTCCCCACTACTCCTCTGCCCCCAGCAGCATACAGCTTTAGCAAACAGGAGTCTCACGCATTGCCTCCCTGCTTAACAATTTTAGCAGGCGCCTTGTCTCACCCACGCACTTCACCCCCTCCAACCCCAGCCTTCATGTGATTGCTCTTAAGCCTCTCTCTCCTGCCACTGGCCCTTGGCACATGCTGTTCTCTCAGCCTGGAGTCCTCACTCCTCTCTCTCTCTCTGCCCTGAAACACCCTTCTTCCATTGTTGTGATTTCCACTGATCCCTCCCTCCCTCTGGGAAGCCGTCTCCAGCCCATGCACCTGATGATTCCCTAATTCGCCCTCCTGTGCCTCTGTGGACCTCTCCTTTGCCACATTTAATCACCGTTGTCATTCTACATTGATTCTGGATGATTATTTGGTTATCATCTGTCTCCCCTAATAGACTGCAAGCTTCATCAGGCAGAGAGGGGCTGCCTTGCTCACAGCTGTGCCCTCAGTTCCTAGAACAGAGCCTGGCATTCAGTAGGTGCTCAACACATGTTTTTACCTGGGGCAGACCCGGGTGAGGGCACTTAAGAGAAAGAGCAGGATTGGGGTGAGGGCAGGGGTGTCTGGAGAAGATGGGGGAGGGGAGGGCGACAGGCTTGGAACCAGTTCTGGGCTCTGAGACATGGAGCACTCACTGTGGGGGAATCCAGCCTCCCAGAACAGGGCAGGTTGGCACACAGGATTGGGGAGCAGGGTGGTAGACAGGCATGGGAGGGGAGGGGAGGGGAGAAGAGGGGAGGGCAGGATGGGAGGTAGGATGAGGGGCATGCATGGAAAAGCAAGCTTGGCTGGTTCTCCCTCTCCACTCAGTACACAGGGAGAGCCAGTAAGGGGTCTGGATACTGGGAAGTGAGGCCTTCCTCCTGGCCAGCCCAAGGTCCTGGTGCCCTGACCTTGTCTCCATCCGGAGCTGGAAGGTCTCTTCCCCCTTTTTATTATCTGCAAAAAGAAGGCAGGAGTTTAGGGGCTGGAAAACACAGCCTCCTGGGTTCAAATCCTGGCTCTGCTGTGTGACATTGGGCAAGTTGCTTAAGCTCTCTGTGTTTTAGTTACCTGAACTGTAACTGAGGAGCATAATATTCCCAGCCCAGCCGGCTTGTAAGGATTTAATAAGTTAATACAAGCAAAGCTCTTAACACAGTGCTTTATCAGTTCTTTGTAACTGTCAGTTACTATTACTATTATTACTAGTACTATTGCTACTACCACTGTTATTATTATTTTATTTTTATTAAAAAGTGTGGCCCAAACCAAATCCTTGGTTACTTTCAGTACCTAAAAGTCCTGGGGCTGGTGAGGCTTATTCCTCTCATCCCCACAATGAGCTCCCACTGGCGGAGCCCTGTCTCTTCCTTCCTGGTACCCCAGACTAGGAACTCTAGAATCCCATTTCTGATCATCTCCACAGCCCACCCCGACCCCAGTTCAGCCCCCATCATCTCCTACAGTGACAAGTGCAGTCACTTCCTCTCTGGTTTCCCAGCTTCTGCCCTTGCCTTCTACAGTCTGTGCCGGAGGGGGCCTGTGCAAACCTGTGCTAGCTCACACCCCTTCTCTCAGAACACTCCATGGCTCCCACTTCACTGTGAGCAAAAACCAGAGATCTCACTATGGCCCGCAAGTCCCTGCACCATTTGACCCCTCATCTTTCCAACTCTTTCCCCTAAAACCCTACCCTTTGCTCCTCTGTGGCCACAATGGCCTCTTCAAACCAGGTGAGCTCATTCCTGCCTCCAGAACTTTGCACCTGCCGTTCCGCCTGCTTGGAAGTTATTCCCTCAGATCCTTCATGGCTCATTCTCTCCTTTCTTTCATGTCTGAGTTCAAATGCCACCTCCTCAGAGAGCTTTTCCTGGACCTCCTCCAAGTGTGTATCATCTTTTCCTACTTTATTTAGTATGATACTTACTATCACCTTCTGGTGTGTTATATATTTATTTTTTATAGTGTAGATTGTTATAAATAAATAGCAGGAGTATAATGTATTTATTGTTGTATTATTGTTTGTCTTCACCTACTAGAATGTGGGCTCCAGGAGAAGGGATATTTTTCTTGTTCATGCCTGTGTTGCCAGGGTCCAGAAACAGAGCACAGCACATAGTAAATGTTCAACAAGTATTTGTTGAATAATTGAAGAAGGCAATACATGTGCTTACTGGGCTTCCCAATAAATGGGAATCCCTGGGTCTAGGCTCACCTTCCAGGGCACTGAGGAGAGTCACATTCAGGTGGTACAGGTTGCACGTGTCCTCCCAGGACTCTGGGGACCTGTAGTACACGGTCAGGATCTGCCGGCGCAAGAAAGGTGTCAAGGACCCTTCCCAACCACTCCCTTCCTCCCCACTCCAGTCCTCACCTGCCCAGATTCTGCCCCTGTGGATAATTCACTTCAAAGTCTGCCCCTCCTCCCATAATTCCTGGGTGCGTGACCAGACCACTCTTTAGAATCTAGACCACCTCGGTATAATAGGACTTTCTTCCGTGACAGAAATAGTCTCTACCTGCACTGTCCGTATGGTAACGACTAGCCACATGTAGTTATTGACCACTTGAAATGCGGCTAGTGCAACCGAGGAACTGATTTTTTAATTTTACTTAATTTAAATTTCACTGAGGCTTGGGGCGCCTGGGTGGCTTAGTCAGTTAAGCGTCTGACTTTCGCTTGGGTCATGATCTCGCGGTTCGTGGGTTCGAGCCCCGCGTCGGGCTCTGTGCTGACTGCCAGCTCAGAGCCTGGAGCCTGTTTCACAGTCTATGATTCCCTCTCTCTCTGACCCTCCCCTGCTCACGCTGTCTCTCTCTCTCTCTCCTAGAAATAAATTTTAAAAAAAAAAACATAAAAAAAAATAAATTTCACTGAGGCTCATGGAGGAGTGTGACATGCCCAAAGCCACACAACGAAGTCAGAGATTCAACCGCAACTCCGTTGCCAGAAACATGAAAGCAAGCTGCCTCCAACTTAGTGAGCAAGAGATCTGCCCGCTGGGCCACAGGGAATGGAGCCAGAAGATATAACGGAGCTCCTGGATGTTGGGTAAGGGGTAGAGCTTTCCTCCAGGCATTGGAAGGCATGCTGGAGGCAGAATCTTCCTTTGGAGAGCAAAGAGGCACCCTTCAGGAAGTCCACATGGGAGGGGCAGACAGGTCCAGAGATCTCTGGCTTCTATTTCTCCTGGCTCTTGACTTATAATTCAGACATTTCTGAGTCTCTACTTCACCAACTGTTGAATGGAGTCCATGTTTTTACCAGCTTTCTATGGGCAGGCTTTGGGGTGTCCTTAACTTGGTTCCTAGCAAATAGTAGTGCCCGAAATGGTAGTTAAAATTATTACTAATTTTGATCTTGTCTTGTGGTCTAGACTGCCTCTATTTCTATCAATGGCAGGGAGTGGGGAGGGGAGTGTGGGGCTGGGCCCCAGTTAAGGATCTCAAGGTGGGACACCAGACTTACCGAGATTGTGCCTCTCCCACTGCCACTGGGCAGAGAACTGAAAGGAAGTGAGAGGAGAATTTGAACATGGAGGAAGCATCAAAACATGGCTCAAATGCAATGGGGTTGGGGAGGAAAGCATGCATGGGCACTGAGGCCTCTGTAACTTCCCTAGCTTGGGGTCTAGTGACTCACTGCTCAACTGTCCTCATGTAGATGGTTTTCCTTTTCCTTTTTTAAACATGTATTTTTGAGAGACAGAGTGGGAGTGGGGGAAGGTCACAGAGAGGGGCAGACACAGAATCTGAAGCAGTCTCCAGGCTCTGAGCTGTTGGCACAGAGCCTGATGCAGGGCTCGAACTCATGGACTGCGAGATCATGACCTGAGCTGAAGTTGGAGCTTAACTGACTGAGCCACCCAGGCGCCCCTACTTTTCCTTTCTGAAAGAGTATTCGTGGTGCCCACATTGTCACAGATCAACTACAACTGCCAACTCGGGCTGAGTCCTAGTGTACATCTGTTCAGTCTGTCTACTTCACAGTGTCTCCAGAGTCCCTTGTGCATGGAACCACCACAAGACTTCTCTCCCTGGCATCTTTGCATCTACTCTTGTTTCCATCATACATTCCTTCATCAACCAGAGAAGATTTTTATGATTTCGTTTTCATTCACATCATCCCTGCTGAAAACCCATTAGCTATTCTTGGAATACTTCTGCCTCAGGGCCTTTGCACCACTGTTTCCTCTGTCTAGATATCCTCTAGGCTCACTTCTTCCTTAAGGCCTTTGCTCAAATGTTACCATCTTGGTGAGCATGTCCCTGGCCCTCTTATCTAAAACTGCAACTCCTTGCGGTGCCTGGGTGGCTCAGTCAGTTAAGCATCTGACTTTGTTTCAGGTCAAGATCTCTTGGTTCCTGAGTTCGAGCCCTGCATTGGGCTCTCTGGTGTCAGTGCAGAGCCCACTTCAGAGCCTCTGTCCTCCTTTCTCTCTGCCCCTCCCCTGACCATACTCTCTCTCTCTCTCTCTCCCTCTCTCAATAATAAATAAACATTAAAATAATAATATTGATGGGGCGCCTGGGTGGCTCAGTCAGTTAAGCGTCCAACTTGCGTTCAGGTCATGATTTCACCATACGTAAGTTCGAGCCCCACATAGTGCTCTGTGCTGACAGCTCAGCGCCTGGAGCCTGCTTTGGATTCTGTCTCCTTCTCTCTCTACCCCTCTCTTGTTCGCACTCTGCCTGTCTCTCTCAAGAGTAAATAAACATTAAAAAATTGTTTTTAAATAAAATAAAATAGCAACTCCTTGGGGCACCTGGGTGGCTCAGTCGGTTGAGTGTCCAACTCTTGATTTTGGCTCAGGTTAGATCCCAGGGTCATGGGATAGAGCCAGGTGTCGGGCTCTGTGCTGAGCATGGAGCATGCTTGAGATTCTTTCTCTCTCTCTCCCCCCCTTCCCCTCTCCCCTGCTCGTGCTCTCTCATAAATAAATAAATAAATAAATAAATAAATAAATAAATAAATAACATGGCAACTCCTTGATGTACCCATCTCCCCTTTCTGCTTAATTTTTAAGCTATAGAACTTGCCACTATTGAACACACTACATATTCTACTTACTTACATCTCTCTATTGTCTGTTTCACCCATTAAAACATAAATTTCTACAGGGAAAGGGATTTTTTTCCCTGTTTTATTCATGGCTGTATTCCCAGCCTCGCATACAGTAAGTGCTCAATAAAGATGGGTCAAAAGATTCAAGATAAAGATCCCCTCTTCCATGGAGTAAGGTCATGGAGATTACTTTCCTCCTCACACTCAGGGTATTTTCTCCTTTACACCCACTTCTTTTCCCTGTGTCCAGAAAGCTTAAACTAGAATATACTTATTGTCTTAGTTTCTTTCTAGAATGTAAGTGCCGTGAGAACAGAGGCCACAGGTCTTTCATAATGCAACCCCCTTGCCCAGGAGAATGACTGGCACAACAGGTGCTCAGGAAATGGTGGAACAGGTGAATCAATACATTGACAGTATAGACATTGATTGTGAGATAACCTTGAAGAAAGAGATTGGCAGGGACATGGCTGGCCTCATCCCCAATGCAGACTTCAGGTCTGCTCCTCAGTGCCCTACCTTTGCCGACCGCTGCTGGTAGGCATTGTTCTGATCGATGATCCACTCCAAGTTCAAGGCTCTCTTGGGGGCGCTTATCTGGACGCGGAGATCCTGGACATCCTCAAAAGGGACAGCTTCACGGAAGCGGGTGAGGGCCTCAAGGGCCACTACAGTCGTCTAGGTGTTGGGATGGGGCTGAGTATCAGCACCACTGATGGTGCGCAGAGCAACAGTTAGTGTGGCAAATCAGCACCACGGGCAGCTCCTTCCGGGGGGCGAGCCTCGTCAGCACCTCGGCTAGCGCCCCTCCCCAACCCCCTCTTTCCAGGGGCCCTGGTCACCTGGGTGGACTTGAAGCCTCCGCCTAGCTCCCGCTTCTCCAGTAGCCACTGGGCAATGGCGTGCGTCTCTTTGTAGCGACGTAACTCTAGCTTCTGCATCAACGCATAGGCCGTGGCCTCAATGGTGTACAGGGAGTTCTTGTCCAGGTGGTCCACTGGCCAGTGGGTTTTATCTGGGAGATGGATGGCCACTTTGTCCCCCAGAACCGGGCCCATCTACCTAAACCTGTCCTCTCCTGTGTCATCTGGCCCAAATGTTTTCTTTACGCGAAACTCTTTGAAGGGGCATATGGACATTGTATTTTCAGAACACTCTAAGAGACGGGGACTCTAATTATTTAGAGATGTGGAAATTAAGGTTAATTGAAGCTCTTCCGAGTTCCATCAGTTCCGTGCTAGCAAATTTTTCTAACTCCATTCCTCTTGACTCGAGTAATGGAGTGGATGGGATAAGGGCCCTTGCGGATGAGATGCAGACCTTGACCATGTCAAACACTTCCCCAGTGCAGGGTATTTGCACATGCCATTCTATTAGCTTGGAATGTGCTTACCGTTCACACAGGCGGGCCTTCTCGTCTTTTATTCCAACTGAAGAGTCCCCTTTTCACAGAGCCCTTCCTAGTTCTCCAATCCATTCCCCTCTCCTCTCACCATCTCCCACCCATCTTTCATGCTATCATCTCACTACTTGTATCAATTTGTAGTCCTCTATTGATGTGTTTGGCTTCTGTTTGCTTTTCCCCAGGGATGGTGGGATCTTTGAGAGCAAGGACTATATTAATCTTGTTTACCTTGGTTTCTTGGCGTCTGAGCTCAAGAGTTGGCACACCATAGATGCTCAGTAAACGCTAAGTGATGCATCACACATTGCTGGATTGCAAATCACACAATCCCCCACCCCCTGTCCCCCATGACTGTGGTTAACAAGCAGTTGGTTAAGTAGTGGCCCACACTCACTATGGCTGGCAAAGCTGTCCAGTCGATCATTGGCTCGGGGGCTCTCAGTGAGGGCCAGGGCATAAGAGACTATGGCTACGGCAAACGTTGTCTGAATTTTGGGAAGGCGTTTCTCCAGGAAGCTACGGGCTCGCTCCATGCTGGCAGTCAAATTCTAGAAAGTCAGAGAGAGGAAACTAAGTGGGGAAGCTTGGAGGAAAGGGGTCTGGGAGTTAGAAGAGAGGAATGCACTGCGAGGGATATGAGGGTGGGGAACTTCCTGCGGCCAGAGGGTATAGAGGGCTCTGAAGAGCCTGACCTCCCCTTTGGGTCTTACCTGTATCTTCTGGCTGCACAATTCCTTCCCCTCATGTAGGGCAATCAGGACAAGAGCTGTGAGGGATGTGTCTGCTTCAGAGCCTTGGTAACCACCCTGTGGATGCAAGATTACCCATGATCCCCCAGTGTCTTGGGGAGACTTTCCCCAACCTCTCGTGCATGACCTTGACAAGCTCCCAGGTGCTCGGCTCTGGACTGGAGGATGCTGAAAACAGGATGAAGAGAGAGGAAGAGGAGGAACCACCCTGAGATCTGTGTGTGGGGGGTCTGCATAACTAACCAAAGCCAACAGCCACGGAGGGTGATGTGCTAAACTCTACACTATCTCTGAGCACTCTTTCAGCAGCTCTATGTTCCTGATGAGGAAAGTGACAGTCAGAGAGGTGGTCTCCCCATTACTGGTAAATGACTGACTTAAGGTTCAAGCTCCTCTTTAGTCTGCTAGCGCTAACTTCAGCATCTGTACCGGGTTGAATAATGTCCCTCCCTCCCACGAAAAAAATTCTTGTCCACTCAGAACCTCAGAAGATGATCTTACTTGGAAATGGAGTCTTTGCAGATGTAATTAGTTAAATTAAGAAGAGGTCATACTACTTAGAGTGGGCTCTATCCAGTGATGAGTGTACTTATATATAAACACACAGAAGGAAGGTGGGCAAACGAAGATGGGGACAGAACTTGGAGGGTTGCAGCTACTAGTCAAGGAGTTCTAAGGACTTCCAGAAGCCATCAAGCTAGAAGAGACAAGGGAGGATTCTCCCCTAGAGCCTTCAGAAAGAGCATGGACCTGCTAATGCCTCGATCTGGGATTTCTAGCCTTCAGAACTGTGACAAAATAAATACATTTCTGTTGTTTTGAGCCATCCAGTTTGTGGTACTTTTTAGAAGAGTCCCAGAAAATTAATTCCCACCCCACAGTCTCTTCTTCCTGCAGTGGCCAAAGAAGCCTGTGAACGCTTGAATCAGGTTGTGTCCCTTCTCAGTTTGGAACCTTCCATGGCTCCCATCTCACTTGAAGGAAAAGCCCAAGTCCTCCATGAAGCCCAAAAGGCCCTGTACATTCTGTTCCATCCCCTCCCTCACCTCCGCCTCCTCCTTTTCTCCTGTTGCTCACTCTGTTCAGCCACAGGGGACTCCTCACTATTCCTCAAACATATTGGGCACGTTCAGTCTCAGGACCTTGCACGTGCTGTTCTCTCTGCTTGTAACACTGTTCCCTGTCTACATGACTTGCTCCCTCACTTCCTCACCTCCTCAGGTCTGTACAAATATCATCTTTTCACGAAGCCTTCCAAAATTATCCTCCCCCATCACCTTGATTCCCCTTTCCCTGTATCTTTCCCCATATCACTTCTAACAAGACACATCATTTAGGTGTCTATCATGCTTATTGCCCGTCCTTCCTCCACTGGAGTGGCCATACCACGAGAGTGGGGATTTTTGTCTATTTTGTTTGCCCTGGGTCCTCAGTGCTTAAAACAGTGCCCAGCACACTGCAGGTGTCTAATAAAAGTTTGCTGGTGGAAAGAAACTCTGATCTGTGAGCCTGTGAAACCTGCGTATCTGTTCTCTGTATCACCTTCCTGTACAGCATCTGGCTCCTTTGCACACAGGCCTCCCAACTCCCTAACTCCCCCCTTTCCTCTGGGGACACAATCTGTCCTTGCTGAGTTCCTGCATTCACTCAGAGTTTTATTCAACAAACATTTCCTGGCTATGATAAACCAGACCTGCTTACCTCCCTGGAAGGACTCACAGAGCAGAGAAAGCAAATCCTGAACAGACTATTTCAAATCCTGAGACCCCCAGGGCCCTTTGGATTTTAGGACATGGCATCTCTCCTCCTTCTCAGGCCTCAGGAAAAACGATCCCCTTCCCCACTTTGGGCTCTCATCTCTTCCTTTTACTCAAACATGCCAGAGCCTCAGGGCCTTTGCACATGCTGCTCCTTTTGCCTGGAGCCCTCTTTCCCATTCTTCTCCCACCAACTTTTTTCCTTCTTCAGCTTGCTGCTTTGCTGTCACTTCCTTTTGCAAGTTCCCCTGGTATTTCTTTCCCATGGAACTTAGCACAATTGTGATTTAAACAATGGCTGGTTATAATTATTTGGTGAACATCCATCTTCCTCCCACACACCAGCTGGCTGTTAAGGTCTTGTTTACTGCCACTTCTCCCCTCTGTCTAGTACAAAGCATGGTACGCAGCAGTTGCTGGATAAATATCTGTTGAATGAGTGAATGACATCCCTACTGTCATAGGTACAATAACAGAGACAGGGCTGGTATTCAAGGGAGACTCCTGGAGGAGGTGGGTCTGAGCTAAATCTAAAGAGGAAACATAGGGGCGCCTGGGTGGCTTAGTCGGTTAAGCGTCCGACTTTTGCTTAGGTCATGATCTCACGGTTCGTGGGTTCGAGCCCCGTGTCGGGCTCTGTGCTGACTGCCAGCTCAGAGCCTGGAGCCTGTTTCAGTCTGTGACTCCCTCTCTCTCTGACCCTCCCCTGCTCACGCTGTCTCTCTCTCTCTCCTAGAAATAAATAAAACATTAAAAAAATTAAAAAAAAAAGAGGAAACATAATGTGGCCGGGCAAAAAGAAAAAGAAAAAGGGATGAAGTGTGGCGATTCCATGCAGAGAGGGCCTTACAAACAAGAGGACCTGAGATCAGGGAGTAGTGAGGGGTGAGGCTTGGTAGGAGATACAGGAGAGAGGGATATAACAGATAGATGCTGTCACAGACACCTGGGAGCCACGGAAGGTGTCTGACCGGGAAAGAGATGTCCCAGACTGTTTGAAAGCTACTTCTGGAAGCTGATGTGGAGGAACACATGGTAGGGATGGGTGTGTTGGTTGGGGGGCTGAGAAGACTCAAGCCCAGGGGGAAGAGAGCCAAGAACCGGAGCCTTTTCCAAGTGGGGGTGAGAGAGATGACGTCCCGGATATGCCCAGCCTCTTTGACATTGTAACAGAGGGCAGGGTGGTCCAGAGCAGAGGGACATGAAGCTGGGTGCCGGGCCCTCGCCTTTTCCTGTTCTCGTTTTACCTGTCAGCAGGTCAGGGGCCTGAGATTTGCCTGTCAGTGCCCAGAGCCCTGGGTTTTGTTCGAGCAGCCCAGGCAGGGGGGCAGTGGGCACCTGCATTGATGCCATGATGACGGGGCCCTTCTCCAGAAAGTGCCCATCTTCCGCCTGCCTTTGGGTGATGATCCAGTTGGCAGTGGCACAGAGAGAGGGCAGGTCCACAATGCTGGTTGTCATGGTCGAGTAGGTCAGGGCAAAGACACGGAACACATAGCTCGTGAGCCTGTCAGTGGGGGAGACAGGGCGGGCGATGACTGGGGATAGTGGCCAAGGGGATTCTAGGACGGGGGCATCTACACTAAGGGGGGGTCTGCACAATGGACCCCGCTGCTCCACACTGAGCCTTCCTTTGCTGCTCCCCAGGTCTGCAGCACGGACACTAAAACTCGCTCCGACATTCAGACACTGACTGTCTAATCAGGTGCTCTCAACAATAACCTTCAAGGAACACCCATCACCATCACCCCCAGAGTTACCCCCACACCGTCGACTCCCAGGTAACCTTCAGGGAATACCCAAGTAGCAATAGCTCTGGCCAGAAGGCTGCCTGCCCCGAGACCCTGCTGCACGGGTGCTCCTGGGGTCATCACGGCGCAGGCTGGTTCCTGAGCTTCATTCAGGACGGTGCTGGAAACACCAACGTCCTCGTCCTTACCAGGTGCTTCCCGGGTTTCCCTTCCTGGTGTGGTACGTGCCGTCTGCACTCCGGTGGGTCAGCATCCGGGTGTAACCTGGAGACACAGGTGGAGGAGGACTTTCAGGGAGATTAGGTACTTGGGTGTGGCTGTGAAGGGGAGTCAGTTATCAGACACAATCTGGGGGCCAAGGTATGGGTGTGACTTGGGGGTGCATCACATCTGGATGTGACCGTATGAGGGGACTGGTCTAGGTGTATCAGGAGGTGGCTGCAGGGCCCAGGTGTGACCGTGGGAGCCAGTGTGTTGTGTTTCCTGGGAGGAACCTGGGAAATCGCCCCATCGGGGGCCTCTGGGGAAAGGTTTGACTAGGAATTGCTCAGAGGGATTGTGGAAGGTGAAACCCAGGGAAAGGGGTAGCCTGGGGGCCACTACCTGGGACTTTCCTTGGAGGCTGTTTCTTGGCCCTAAACTAGGGGTGTCACTGTGTCTTTGTGGCTTAGGGGAGTCTACTCTTGGGTATAATCTTGGAGGGGTATCTCTTGGGTGCATTGAGAATGCTGCTACTTGAGTATTACCTGAAGGTTGCTTAGGGGCTTATGGTTTGGGTGTATCTTTGCAGGTGACAATGTCTGGGTGTTACCTGAGGGTAATTGTTGAGAGCACCTGGATGGAGAAGTGGCTTCTGAGCGTAGCTGGGAAGAGGGGTCAGTGCCCAAACTAACCTGAGGGTCTCTGTCTGGGCATAAACAGGCATGTGCATGACTGATTGTTACCTGGGACATTTGGACATAACCTGGGAAGGTGTAACGGGAAGGCCACCACCTGGGATTATTCCAGAGTTTTCTGCTTGGGGGTTCCCTAGGGGTGTAACCCAAGGCATGGTGCTGATTGAATGTAACCTAAGACAGTGGCTGGGTATAATCTGGAGGCTGCTGCTTTGGGGTAAACAGGGTGTCTATTGTCAGACTATAGCCTGGAAAAGGGGTCCAGATGAAGGAGTATTGTAGGGGGTCATTGTCTGGGGGGCACCTGAGGGACTTGGTACTGGGATATAATCTGGGAGGTGAGTCAGAGTGTGAATGTTCTTGCCTGGGAGAGTCCCAGGGGACTGCCCCCAACCCTGGAGGCACCCCAGCCACCCTCCCAGAGAGTCCCACTCTCATTGTGGTCCCAGGAGGGACCCCCCTCTCACCAATGATGATGTTCTTTACCACCTGGTCCCTGAGTTCCACTCCAACCTTGCCCCACTGGCCAGTGGCATCCAAAAAGCGGGTCAGGATGATCACAGGTGCCAAGGAGCTCAGCGTCTGCTCAGGGCAACCGGTCGGGACCCTCAGCAGCCGCTGTGTTTCTCTAGGTGTCAGGGTGCCCAGGATTGTCTCACCAAGGATGTCCCCTATCAGGTGGACAAAATCATCTCAGGAATGACCTAAGCCCCCATGGCTCCCTGATGACCCCACACGGGCACCCCAGCCCCTCCTCTCCCTGTGTCTGGGTGGGCCTGGGAGGACCCAGCTCCATGGTCCTCCACCCTCTCCCCCAGGAGGCATCTCTGTCCTAAGCACCTTGGACACTGACAAACACTTCTGCCTCTGTATTGGGCACCTTGTTCAAAAAGTCCTGTCTTGGCACCACTTCCGTCTGGGTCTGACCTGGGTTGAACAGACACAACCTTTTGTGACAAGCAGATTCTGGGGCTGGGAAGGTCAGGGTGTGCAGAGCCGGGAGGAGATTGGACTGCCCACCTGGCCGGACCCCCTCATTTCAGCCCCTCCCTCCTTCCTGGCATGTCCCCAGGATCCCATGCTCCCCCCCACAAACCTTGGGGGTTCAGGAAGATGCTATGGGATATTTGCTGTATCTGCCCTCCTGCCTGTGAGATACAATGATGAAGCAAGTTAAAAACAACAGCAACGAGAATAATAATGACAATCACAGTGACAGTAGGAAGAGACATTGGTTAGCTATGAAGAGCACAGACTCTGGATCCTAAATACCTGGGTTCAAATCCCAACCCTTCTGTGTCCCAGCTGTGTGGCTTTAGGCAAATTACTAACTCCTCTGTGCCTGAGTTTTCTCATTCATAAAAGGTTCCTACCTCATATGGTTGTTCTGATGGCTCAATGAGTTCCTAATCTTTTTTTTTTTAAGTTTATTTATTTTTGAGAGACAGAGTAGGAATCAGGGAAGGACAGAGAGAGAGAGGGAGATACAGAATCTGAAACAGGCTCCTGGCTCCCAGCTGTCAGCACAGAGTCCAACACAGGGCTTGAACCCATGAATGATGAGATTATGACCTGATTTGAAGTCGGATGCTTAACCACCTGAGCCACCCAGTTGTGAAATATAAACATAAATAATTTTTACGTGAAATATAATTTTCCCAGCTCTCTGGTTCTTCATGTGTGTGATGATTATCCCCATCTTGCAAATGAGGAAACGAAGGCTCAGAAAAGTTGAGTCAGTTGTCCAACGTCACACGGCAGAGACAAAGCTTGAACCCAAGTCTGACAACAAAGTCCCAAAGTGGGGGCTCTGTGACTGAATTTTCAAATCCATCCTTTTGTGCCTCACTCCGATCTGAGAGGCCTGATTATTTTTTAATAACATTTTTAGTGTTTATTTGTTTTTAAGAGAGAGAGACAGAGTGCAAGTGGGGGAGGGGCAGAGAGAGAGGGAGACACAGAATCCGAAGCAGCTCCAGGCCCTGAGCTGTCAGCACAGAGCCCGACGCGGGGCTTGAACTCACAAACTGTGAGAGCATGTCCTGAGCCGCAGTCAGGCGCTCAACCGACTGACCACCAGGCGCCCCTGAGGGGCCTGACTATTGGTCCAGCGCCCACCTGTCTGACCTGTGATCATAGCCTGGGCCCAGGGGAAGCCCCACTGTCTGCACCAGTAAGGAGGGATGGGAGCACCCATTACCTTGACCAGAAGTGTCCTCTTCACGTGGTCCTCGACCCCATAGCCCACAACCCTGACCTCCACGTCCACTTTGCCAGTCTCAAGTGGGAGAAGCACAAAGGGCACCGTCTTGGAAGAGGTGGGGGGCACGGTCACCACCTGGCGGGATGGGGCCTCTGGCTTTGACGCACTGCACAGTGCCTCCTTGTAGGGGAACTCCACGCGGACCTAGGGCGGAGGTGGGCAGTCAGGGTGTCCTGATGCTTGGGGAGGCCCAGGACGCTGGTCACAGTTCCCTCCCTGCCCCACCCTGAAAATCCTGAGTAGGTGACAGCACAGCATCGTGGTGCAGAGCATAGCCCTTGCCTGACACTCACGCACTGTGTGACCTCAGGAAAGCCCCTTAACCTCTTTGTGCCTCAATTTCCTCCCATCTAAATGAAAAGCAATGATAGCAGCCATTTGCTGGGATCACTGTGTGTTTTCTATGAGAAAAATACCTCAGAAGCTTTTCAGAAGGGCCACTACCTTGATGGCCCCTTCGAATAATGGACACACTCCACCCCTTTTATAAAACACACTGACAGATGGTTTGTGGGCAGAGCAGGGCACAGGCTTCACCTTGACCTGACGGCTCCTGAAATTGTACAGCACAGCTTGGATCTGGATCTGCTCATTCCTGACCATGGAGGAGGGCAACTTGAGATCCACAAAGAAGGATTTCATAACTGTCAGCTCGAAGGGATCTGAGATGCAGAGACCTACAGCCAAGGGCATATGTTGGCATTACTCAGAGGCCAGCTGTCCTGGGCTGAGCGGGGCCACCGTCCTCCCATCCCCTCAGCACCGGGCTTGTGGGGTCACCTTGTCCGGCCTTGAGACTGACAGCCACAAACTGCCACGTGGTGATGGAATCTGGCACAGTGACAAGGGTGCTGTAGGAGGAGAGGCTTCTGAAAGTGGCAAAGGTCAGGGAGTGAACATCAGTGAGTTTGTGCTGCCTGGGCAGAGCCTCTGCATTGGGAGGGTCACTGTCCAGGGGTCAGTGGGTTGCCCCACTGGAGACCATCATCACTAGAAGGTTATCTTTTGGGAGGGACCATGGGATTTGTATCGTCATACAGGGAGGTGCCTGTCATGGGACTTTACTGAGGGCTCAGTGTCACCACTGGGGACATTGGCTATGACTGACTCCCATTGGTGCATGGAAGGGCCAGTAACCAGATGCTGGCGTGGGGGCCGCGGTCCTACCCTGATTTACTCTTCGGCAGTGTAAACTTCTTCCAGAGCCAACTCTCAGGGAACAAGGTCCGGACAGGCTGGTCCTCCATGAAGATGTCACCAAAGTCCTCGTCTTCATCGGCTGCAGGGAGTGGATGTGGGGCAGTGTCTCTCCTACATGTCTGTCCCATGGCCCACCAGTGGGGTCCCCCCACCCCATCCCCTCACAGCCCACCCCATCCCCACTTCATGCCCCTCGAGCAAGCCCCAACCCCTGCCTCCTGCCATGACCTCCTCACATGTCCCCAAAAGCAGCTGCTCCTCCCGGGCCTCCCGTGTCAGGGTCTCAGACAGGTGGCAACAGCTCAGGAAAGCAGCAACGCAGGCTGGCCCATGGCGGACGTGCCGGGTCCTCTCCTCACACGCCAGCCCCACGGGGCTCTCCCGGAGCCCCGCCTCACAGCACTTTTGCTCCAGCTCTGTCTTGAACTTGTTCACTGCGGGCCAGAGTTAGAGGGACAGGGGAGGGGCTGAGCGGGACCAGAGGAAGCTGGAACCCATCCGCCTCAATGCCATGCACATCTGGCCTCGATTTAGCCATAGCCCTGGCAGATGCTGGTTCTAGCACTTTGCCTGTATCATCCCTCTGAAGCCTCACATTGAACCCATGTGGTGGGTTCTGATGAGGGAGCTAAGCAACAGAGAGGTTAATTCACTGGTGCAAGGTCACACAGCTCCCAAGCAGCAGAGCTGGGACTAAAATCCATGTTGCTGTAGCTGATGTTTCTCTTCTCCTTCATCCCCCTCCCCTCCTCCTCTTCCTTCTTCTTGACAGGGGTTGGTAATGCCATGTTTATGTATTAGAGACACCAATTCACATTTCTGATTTTCATCACGTATTTTTTAAAATTGATACGGCTCTGGGCGGCTCAGTAGGTTGAGCGTCTGACTTTGGCTCAGGTCATGAACTCATGATTTGTGAGTTCAAGCCCCACATTTGGCTTGCTACTGTCAGCCAGTCGGTGCAGAACCCACTTCAGATCCTCTATCCCCCTCTCTTTCTGCCCCTCCCCTGCTTGTGTTTGTTCTCTCTCTCAAAAAATAAATAAAACATTAAAAATTTTTAAAAAGAACCACAAAGTCATTAACATTAGAAAAATCTAATATTCATATGTTCCATGCTTCCAACACCACTCAGTGCTGCCTCCCATCTTCCTTGAACTGCAGCCTCAGAACTTCTTGTTCTGGTCAACACCTTGGCCTTGGGGATAGCAGGTTTGGTAGCTATTATCCACTGACACTCAGCACCCATCTCTTTTTTTGCCTATTGACCCTCTTTTTTTTTTTTTAATGTTTATTTCTTATTGAGAGACAGAGAGCACACAAGGGAGGAAGGAACAGAGAGAGAGGGAGACACAGAATCCGAAGCAGGCTCCAGGCTCCGAGCTGTCATCACAGAGCCTGATGTGGGGCTTGAACTCACAAACTCTGAGATCATGACCTTAACCAAAGCTGGACACTCAACCGACTGAGCCACCCAGCCGCCCCTGCCTATGTTCCCTCTTGTACCACAGAGCCTAGACATCTAGAAGCTATATTTTGCAGACTCTCTTGCTGCTAGGATTCTGGATGGGATTAGATTCTGCCACTGAGATGCTCTTGTGTAAGATTTGGAAGCTGGGAGGAGCGGAGACCATTTTCCCCACAGCAATGGTAGCTGATGGGTGGGTGCCAGTCTATGTGTGCTTCTGTTACGGGCACAATTCTCTACTTCATTATCTACCCACCAGCATCGCGAGAGATATTGCCAGTCGTTTTCCAGAGATTTCATGCATTGCAAGGACTGTGGTGAGGTGATGTTGGGTCCCAGCAAACAGCTTTTCAACCTCCACTGCTATAGTCCATCTATAGTTTTCGAAGTACCAAACTCCCATCATGAAATCCTTCCCTCTCTACTTGAAGTACCTAGAATGGGTTTCGTTTTCTGAATACAGTAGGTTAAGGAGCCAAGAGGGGCATGTCCAGCTTTAGCTCTGACCTGCATTCCTCTTGGTCTCCAGCCTCTTCAGGGAGCGGCGGTGGCGTCTGGCAATGGGGCTCTGAGGGCAGTGCCAGTCTGGGAGTCAGAGAGAAGAATGAGGGGGCCATTGTCAAGATCATTATCGACATCCTTTATATTTATTGAGTGCTTACTGAATGCCCAGCGCTTTCTATGCATCATTGCACTTAATCCCATAGTCTCCTCATATTCAATATTCACCACTTAAAAGCTGTGCAATCTTCAGCAAGTCACTTAACCTCTCCAGGCATTAATTTCTCCAGCCATGTAAAATGGTATGATCGTAATTCTGTCAATGGGATCATGCATATAAAAGTACTTAGCACAATGTCAAGCTTGTAGTAAACAGAAACTATTATTGATGTCACCATTTATAGCTGAAAAAAGACACTCCCAGTTGCCCCTAGCGTCACTCTCCACCCCCACCCCCAACTATGGCAACTAAACCTCCCTCTGTTACATATCACTCAGAATGAAGACTACATTTCCCAGCCTCCCTTGCAACTAGGTGGGGCTACATGACTGAGTTCCAGGAAATGAGATATGAGAAAGTATCTCCCCCTCCCATGTCCCTTCATACTCATGCCGGGCATGAGGTCCTAATGAGGTACCGTCTTAGAATGTAGCAGGGCAACAAGCTAGAAGGAGCTTGAGTCCCAGAATGACCTCAGAACAGTTAAT